AATATCCAACAAAAGACAAACAAACAAACAAATGTATCCCTTGTGTATCAGTATTTTTATAGAAAATCAAACTTATTAAGGTTTTCTATAAGACAATAGTTGGGAATTTACACTGATTATTTCACAACAACTGTATAATACTGTCTCGTTCCCCACTCACAAATTATTTGCAATACCTTCAAGTCTATTTTTTTAATTTTATTTTTTATTTGCATTTAATCATTATACATCTTTACAGTGTACATTTATTCCCTCTCAGCATGAGTACAGTGCATGTTAGTCAACTCTAAGACATTGCCATATACATTATTATCAGCAGACAACTATTTATTACCCACCCCAATACAGCCCCTCCCTACCGATCTCCAACTTCCTTGACCTGAGAACAATACCGAGTGCCTCTACTCACATCCTCACTTGTCCTGGAAGTCAGCACACGAGAAATACTCGTGATTACTCCAGCGGCCTCTTAGAATGGAAATTCGTGGCAGTTGACTTTATTTTTACTTCACAATCTCTTCCTCATCTCAAGAGCTTTATGAAGATGTTTACCAAAGATAGTCTCTTATAAACAGTTTCACAGGCAAATTAGAGATCAATTTTTTGAGATAGTTTTCCTATAAGGTGCACGTGCTCTCCAGAAAGACAGAGACAGAAAGTGAGAAGTCACTCCCTAGCAGAGATGGCCACGCCACAGTCCCTTCTCCTCCATTCTTCTCTTGGGATTTTTGGCATGTACCCACACGTGCCCAGTGTGAGTTTTAAGCTGTCTGATCTGGGACTCAAACAGTGGTCGCCTATGTGGGAGTCCAGTGATGTAACCGTTACACCGTCCGCTGGTCCCCAAGTTAGAAAATTTTATTCCAGTCATCAAGGGAACATTTTCCCCCAGGTGTTTGGACAGTAAAATTAATAATAATATTGTAGAAAAGTACTGATGAAATGAAGAGATGTTTGAGATACTGGGTTGTCAGAAAAATCATGATTCATTGGGAACCAGCAGTTAGCGTAATGGATATGTCGCTGGACTCCCACGTAGTAGACCGCGGTTCGAGTCCTGGACCTGGCGCCTTAAAACTCAAGCCGGGTGCGTGTGCGTACGTGCCCAAGATCCCGAGAGGAGAATGGAGGAGAAGGGATTGCGGCGTGACAACACTCCAGATTTCTCGCTTTCTGTCTCTCTGTCTCTCTCTGTCTGTCTGGCGAGCGCACGCGCCCTATAGCGAAAAAAAACCCCAAAAACCTCTCCAAAAAAAAGAAAAATCATGATGCATTTTTGCACAGAGAAACATAGAAAAAATACATCATGACTTTTCTGATAACCTATTGAGTAGAAATGGCAAGATGCATTATAAATTAGTAAAGATACATCACAAAATAATTTGTCAAACATGTTCCTTTCTTTGTATGTTGTATTAACATGTGCGTGGATGGACTAGGGAGTGAGACCTTAGTCTTCCATCAGGGTTAGGAGATATGGCTGCAGCATGCTTGAGCTATGGTCTTCAGTTACAGTATAGTCTTTAGCATAGTACCCCTAAGGAGATATGATTTTGGATAAACTGCTTAGCCTTTCTGAACTGGTTTGTCTTTTGTCTGTAAAATACAAAAGATAGTACATATCCACAGAATCATCACAGGATTAGGCTCCAGATGGTCTGTCTAGGGAGTACACTATGGTGACTATTGTGGTTGTTGCTGTCATTCCTGTGTTGTCAACATGCAGGTGGTGGTGCTGGTCCAGAGCTATTCCTTAAGGGGTTATGTAGATTTTCTTCCTAACTGACCTGCTTTGCTGTGTTGTGAAACACAGTCACACATAGTCACTGACGAGGGTGAATGCAATGCAAAAAGCAAGAAAAAGCATATCAATAGCCAATGAGCTGTAGAAAGAAGCTGGCCTTGGTGAGCTTGATCAAGGCCTTGAGGGTGGTTGGCATGCCACTTTTGAAGGAAAGGGGGTAGAAGAGGTGCAGGGCAGTGTCAGCGGCATCTTGGAGTGTAACTGGAAGGAGACATGAAAGGAGGACATTTTCTTCTCAAGATGTGGATATTCCACCTGAGTGAACTTTGAGATTGGAGCGAAGAACCCACAAGGGAATGAGGACTATGCTGATCATGTCAGGTCACAGGTTGACCTAGATCCTGTGTCTTTTCTTTCTTTACTCATATTTCTTTCTCACCTCTTTGCCAGCAGACTAGACTGGTAGTCACATAGTCTGTCTCATGTGCCGTGAAACATGTTCAAGGAGTGTGGCAGCCCTTGGTAGAGTAGCATTAGCCCGTGGGAATTTGTTTATACTATGGGTGTGGAAAATAGCAGGCATTGAAAGATGACTGGCAACCCATGATGCTATTTATCATTGCCAATGCTGCTATTGAGAAGGCATATCCCAAACTGATAATTAGAAAAGAGGAGTGACTGGCAACCCGTGATGCTATTTATCATTGCCAATGCTGCCATTGAGTATGCATATCCCAAACTGATAATTAGAAAAGAGGACTAGACTTGGCTCCTCTAGAAGAGGATTCTAAGGGCAGGAGACAAACGAAGCAGCTGGAGTCCAAGACAGCGCCACAGACTACAGGGATCCTCGGCTTAGGTAGGTGGTCTTCACACCCCTCCCCCCTAAGAGGTCCACTGACATGGATGGGAAAGTAGAGCAACCTCTGGCCACCTGACTTGAATTTTGTCCCATGTCAGTCTATAAATGTCCTGAATTTCTGAATACTGTTTCTGAGACTGCCCAGACTACTTTGCTCTGAGTCCCAGTAGCTGTCTTCCAGATTGTGATCTCCTTGGAGGGCTTTTGTGAAGAAGCAGGATGCTGCTAGAGGGTGCAGCAGACACTGGTCTAGGAAACCTGCAATCATTGATCATGCTAACAACTTTGAAGTCTAAGAGGGCTGATTTCAGAGTCTAGAAGGAACTGGTATTTGGAAAGGCATTTTGGAATCTCTAATACTTGGAGCATTTTTAGGTGAAAAGAGATGGCCCTCTGATAACTGAATGCACTGCTTCTTCAAGGAATTTGGCATACGCTAGATGCAGTTATCTTAGTTGGTGGTAAATTCTATGAGCAGCTCACAAGGATATCCCCAGGTTCTCCAGCCTGTGGGCATCATTCTGTCCTCCAGCAACAATACCAGTATCTTGTGTTTGGGTCTCTTAATTTCTGCTAGACATCTCTTGTTCTGAGGTCTGCCAAATTTCTTCAACGTCTGTACCCACTCAATTTACTCCCAAACCAAAAAGGCATTAATATTTTGTGTATTGAGGGGGGGCAGCCAAGCCACAAACTGCTTAAAATCAAATAGTAGATATTCATGTCCCTGAAGACCTGTCGGCTCTGTCCGCCTGCCCCTTAGGACTGCCCCTTGCTCATCCTCCCCTCTGCTCACCGTTCTTGCTGCCTAGACCTGGAGCCCTTCCTTGTCATCTTTGTGCAAAACAACTTAGTATCCTTTGTCTCACTGCTAAGCTACCCTCAAAGGCTTGTTTCTTCACATGAAGTGCCCATCTCTGGAAACTTTAAAGTAGTATGACTCCAGAGAAGTCACTTAACTTCAGATTTTTCATCTGTAAAATGAGAATAACAATTCTTACCCCAGTTTCTTCAATATATTGACCTGGACTAATGTTAGGGAATGTGTTTTGCCAACTGAGGTATAGTGTACAGAATTCGATGGTATTTGTATTTATAAATAACTCTCCTCCAACCTCTCCCGATTAAGTAAATTGTGTGACTCAGCCCTACCTCAGGATATTAGGAATTGGACCTTCTAGCACCTTTGGAAGCACGGTTCTTCAGGACAAGAGGGTGAAAGAAACTGCTTTTTTGTTAGGCAAAGATTAGGCTACTGCAGGAAGCTAGCTAACTTTTTTTTTTCTTTGAGAGGTTTTTGCTATAGGGCGCGTGCGCTCGCCAGACACACACAGAGAGACAGAGAGACAGAAAGCGAGAAATCACCCCCCAGGGGGGATGGCCACGCCACAATCCCTTCTCCTCCATTCTCTTCTTGGGATCTTGGGCACACACGCACACGCACCCAGCATGAGTTTAAGTCACCGGGTCTGGGATTCAACCACAGTCAACCACGTGGGAGTCCAGCGACATAGCCATTGCGCTAACTGCTGGTTCTACCAGCTAACCTCTTGTAAAAAGACTCAGATGGTATTTTAGATCATCAACTAGATGATCTGTCACTATTTGGCTCTGTTATTGTAGCCTTAATATGGCCATAGACTGGATGTAAGCAGGGCATGGCTGTATCCCAATGAAACTTATTTTAAAAATTGGGGCTGGCAGGTGGCATGGTGGTTAAGGGCACTGGATTCTCACATAGCTGACTGTGGTTTGAGTCCTGGACCTGGCAGCTTGCTTTCTCACTTTCTTCTCTCTCTCTCTCTCTCTCTCTTACTCTGTCCCAGACCCTCTCTGGTCAAAAATAAATAAATAAATAAATAAAGTTAAATGAAATAATTCTTTTAAGAAAAATGAACAGACAGAAATGGAAATGATCTGTTGATGATGATGTGTTTAGTGACATCTTTGACTGGCCTAGTGTACAGTACTCATGCTGGGAGAATTCATTCTGTATTCTGTAAAGATGTATGCTGTGAAGAGTAAGTGTAACTTAAAAAGAAAATAGAGGAAAATAAAATCAACAAACAGTGGGCTACATCTGGCCTGTGTGCTGTGGTTTGCCAGCCTCAGGCCTAGAGCAAAGCACTTTGACTTTTTCCATTTTATTTCATTTTTATAACATGTCAAGATCCCTGAAAATGATATTGTGACCCACAATCTGGAAGACATTGCTTTGCTGGAGTGATGGGTAGAAGAGGGTGATCCAGCCCTGCAAGGCCTTTGGGATGCTGGGAGCACTCTGAAGCAGAGTAAGGCTGGCCTCCTGCTCAGCACGAAGGCCATCCAGCAAGGTGTCCTAGAGTCAGACAGTGTCAAACTGATCCCCTTCCTGTCTATTCAGGTCCTGTGCTTCCTCCCATTTCTATTCAGTAATAATTCAACATTGAAAATGTCCTTCGTGGGGGAAAATTCAGGAGTGAAAGTGGACTCTAAAGGCTGGGGAAAAGATGACCCCCAGTGCTGCTCAGAAGGTAAGATACTTGTAAAAAAAAATCCACGTGAGAGCCAAAGTGTAATTCCTAAGCAGACCTTTGTGAGGTGCTGTGCACAAATCAAGTTCCTTCCTGCTCATCTTGCACAGTGAGTGAGCTTTGAGCACTTCCCTGGCAAATGAATTACATAAGAGAAGTCCTAGAAAAGAAAAGGAAGCTTTGCTGCAGGTGTCTAAGCACATCAGGTAGAAGAGAAAAGGATCATTCCTGCCTGAGGGTTGGGGACTTTGAAGTCCAGCCCACTAATGAGGTGGTTTTATAACCTCCAGATGCATCTCTTACCTTTCAGCCTGCCCAGGCAGCTAAGGCCTGGAGGTGAAAGAGACACCGTAAGGCTGAATTGGACAAATGACCCAGGTGCAGGACTTTTGAGCTTTCTGCGGAGGAAGGCACTGGGTGTTGGCTCAAGGGACATAATGAGAGGAGGCTGTTGACACATGCATGGCTGTTTAATGCACAGAGCATGAAGAGGTGTGCCCAATAACATGGCAGAGGTCAACCTCTTGACTGCTTTTCCATTTTCCAACACTTCAGGCCAAGAAAGCTACTTTAAAAATATATTTTTATTTCTATTTCTTTTACACATTCAAACACATTACTTAGCTTACAAAGTGAATATTCTAACATGTGTACATTTTTCACCAGTCCAGTTCACCATACTATAGTTATCTTCGATAGATATTAATCCATATCTTTGTCCCATAAATGCCTTGTGTCATTACCGCCTCTCTGCTCTAGTATCTTTCAGCATACACACAACAGAAGTAAAGAATTATGTGGCCTCTGGTATTTTTAAATCCCCTGAAAATTCCAATTTCATGAGCTAGCTTCGCTATCTCTGCAGACATGGATGGGAACTCCCTGGAACAAGACTCGAGCTTCTCCTCCATAAATTATTCCCACTCAGGTAAGGCTACTGAGTGAAGTGATGGGATGGCTGAGGGATGAGGGTGGGCATGGGGGATGGTGCTGCTGAGCCCTCTCACAGGGTGGGAGAATGATAGACTGGGGACACCTAAGGGTGCTGGGTGGGACTGGGATTTTCCTCTGTGGGTGCAAATTCCATCAGGAGAGACTCTGAGAAGGATGAACCCAAGGTGGGCCTCCACCTGTCCAGAGAGAGGCAGGTAGTATTTATCTGCTGAGTGGCACACTCAAGTTTTGAAACTGGGAACCTTCCAGATGTATCTTGTGACCAGAGGACTGGCAGGCTGACCTCCATACAACACTGATGAGAGGCAGGAGTGTTGCCAACAGGGGGAGCAGGGACACCCACAGCACCAGTACTCATGGTATCCACTCTCAGAGCCAGAATCTTCTTCCATGTGCACCTCGCAACAACCCCAGGAGGAAATTGTCACTATCACCACTGTCCTGGTTTCGAAATCCAAAGAGAGTGAGGAGGTTACCTGACATAGATAGTAAGAGACATGCTGAAATGTGAAGGTTCTATAACATCTGTCTACTTAACTCAGGCTTGTGATGAGGGTACCCTGTCACCTCTCTGCACAAGACATGGTCAAGGGAACTCCATGTAAGTCCCAGGTCTATCACAGGTTTATGTGTGACTACTGAATGTCATGTTATTCACCAATAAAATGGCAATGAGAACTAAAGGAGACCAGGTTTATAAGGGAACAAGGCAACTCACTGTGAAAGGAGGCTGCCTTCACTGCTACCATTGTTGCTGCTGTTGCCACTGCTGCTGCTATTGCTGTTGCTGCTGCTATTGCTGTTGCTGCTGCTGTTGCTGTTGCTGTTGCCATTGCTGTTGCTGTTGCCATTGCTGTTGTTGTTCTTGTCAATGGTGCAGCGCTGCTGTTGCCACTGCTGCTGCTATTGCTGTTGCTGCTGCTATTGCTGTTGCTGTTGCCGTTGCTGTTGTTGTTCTTGTCAATGGTGCAGCTATTCCATCACTGCTATTGTTGCGGGTGGTGCTGCTACAGTTGGTTTTGTGATCTTGGTCTTGGAATCCAGAGCCAGCAGGTGGCATAGTGGTTAAGGTGCTAGATTCCCACATGGTCAACTGTAGTTTGAGTTTCAGACCCAGCGACTTGAAACTCACACTGAGTGTGTGAGTATGTGCGCCCAAAGTCCCAAGAGAAGAATGGAGAAGAAGAGATTACAACATGGCCATCCCCCTGGAGGGTGATTTCTTGCTTTCTGTCTCTCTCTGATTTTTCAGTTGAGTTCATGTGCCAGATAGCAAAAATCTCTCTTAAAAAAAGAAAATTTGGAAACCAAGCACTTACACACAATGCTAAGTTGTCCCACTTCCAGCCTGGGAGAAAAAAAAAAAAAAAATCAGCATGCTGAGATGTCACAGCTACCAGGCAGGTTGGAGAACTGGGACTAAAACCTTTGGGTATGGGGTAGAAAAGACTGCATTTTCCATTTTCAATGTGGTGTATTGATACCTGATTATACTGATCTAGGTGCAAAATTGAAGCCCAAAGGGCCAGAAAAATTCATCATTTCTGACTGGTTTCAAAATGTGTTGGTCTTGGATGATCAGATCCTCAGGGCAGTTCCAAGAAAAACCAACATACATCCAGGTAACTCTCAGTCTTGGCTCTGTTTTCTGTTCCTGTACAGTTAAAGTAAGGTATCCATCAAAGTGGGTTTAGCTTTGTATTTAGCCACAGCCCAAGCTAGTGGTGGCAGTGGGGAAGAGAAGCCCAGGAACCCTTTGGATCAGATAGAGAGTCTGTAGTCATGACCAGATCTGAGGGGAAGAAAAAGAGGCTTGAACCGATGAGATGGAGGGGACTTTGACCACAGAGCCAAGGGGAGAGGGGTATGTGTTAGGCCTGAAATTCCAGCAGACAGGAAAGACTTTTCCCTGCTCTGAGAATAGGCCCCATTCCTGATTGTCTTTTTCTAGCGATCTTCTCTGTATTGGCCTCACATTCGATCCAAGCCAGTGAGAAGAAAGGAAACCCTATTTTCTTGGCTGTATCTGAAGGAAAACTCTGTCTCTGCTGTGACTATGACAAAAAACAGAAACATCCAACCCTCCAGCTGAAGGTGAGTATTCCAGTCCTATTTCTTGTATCCTTGCCCACCCTTAGTGGAAGGACAAGATCCTCAATGCCTTCTGCTTTACTTGTAAATTCTTGGTCAATGTAATAGAGCATCCACTTTTCCAGAAGCACCAACCAGAGAAGTTTCCCATCCTCTTGTCTGGTTCTGTGCTCCTTCTAGGGAAAGAAGGGGGGCTCCTGCCAGTAGAGAGATGAAGGAGGAGTTGCTGAGCACACACCAGCAACCCCTCTTCTCTCCCATGCCTCCTCCTCTGGTTGGTTGTGCTCTGGCTCCTCCACGGAGCAGGCAGCACACTTGGGTCAGGACGTTGGCATGCCCACTATAGGATTTGGTAGTGGGGAGGGCAGGACATTTGCTCTGCAAACAGCTCTAGATGGCACATACATTCACTGTGGGGGGGGAACCTCAGGAAGACCACATTTGTTCATAGATCTAAGCCGTAGTCTCGGATCTCACAGTTAAAACCATAGGCCCTGGGACCAGCAGCTGGTGTAATGGTTACGTCGCTGGACTCCCATATAGTTCACCATGGTTCAAGTTCCAGACCCTGTGGCTTAAAACTCACACCAGGTACATGTGCATGTGTGTCTAAAGTCTGAGAGGAGAATGGAGGAGAAGGGATTGCAGTGTGGCCATTCCCCCTGGGGGTGATTTCTTGCTTTTTGTCTCTCTGTGTCTGTCTCTTTGGCAAGCACATATACCCTATAGCAAAATTCTCTCTCTCTCTCAACCAAACCAAACCAAACCAAACCAAAACAATCAGCTGTAGACCTGATATTTTGGTGTCCATTTGACTCCTGCATCTCTCTGTTGATTTGTTTTCACTTCCAGGGTGAAAGGGTCATGGAAAAGAAGCCATGATTATTTATCACTCCTTAAAATACCAGTACCAAGGTTTATACCCCAATGTCCCTGAGGACCCTCAGCCTTCATCTTTTTCTCTCTCATGTGTAAAGGCCTAAGCAAGAGCACACACACTGGGTTTCACTCCCTCTCAAAACCTGCACTACCTGATTAATCTCTTTTACCTCACAGAAGCAGAATCTTACCAGCCTTAGCACCAAGAAGGAACCAGAATGTCGGCCCTTCATCTTTTATAGGAAAAAGGTGGGTTCAAGAAACACACTGGAGTCAGCTGCTCATCCCAAGTGGTTCATCTGCACGTCCTACACACCCAGAGAACCTGTTAGTGTGACGGATAAAGTTGGAGAATCAAAACCCATTGAGTTTTCATTTGATCCTCCTCCAAAAGCTGAAATGAACCCCAGTGAGATCATTGATTAGAAAACTACACCCTTGGGACCAGCAGTTGGCATAATGGCTATATCGCTGGACTGTCATGTAGTCGATCGTGGTTCAAGTCCCAGAACCGGTGGCTTAAACTCATGCCGGACATGTGTGCGTGCGTACCCAAGATTCTGAAAGAACAGAGGCGGAGGGATTGCAGCATGGCCACCCCCCCCGGGGGGGTGATTTCTCGCTTTCAGTCTCTCTGTTTCTCTCTATCTTTCTGGCTAATGTACGTACCCTGTAGCAAAAAAAAAAACTCCGCAAAAAAAAAAAAAAAAAAAAAAAAAAGAAAGAAAGAAAAAGAAAAAGAAAACTACACCTCCTTCAAATGCCATCTTTTGCTTTCCTCTCTAAAGGGTTCCAGTCACAGAGGAACACAGAACCTCCTCCTTAATCTCTTTGTCTGTGGGTTTCATTTCTAATCTGTACTTGAAGGATTTGTGTTTTTAGGTGATAGAAGAAGGGTTGGCTAATTAAGAGTTCTTAGAGGAAATAAAGTTCTGAGTTGGAATGAGCCTGGCTTCTGCCTGTGTACTGTTACCCCGAACCATCAAATATCCACAGGGTCTGTCACGTAGTATGATTCGGCCAGGCACAGCCGATACTTGGAGTCGATGCATGTTAGGCTCTAGAATCAGCCATTTCTACAGGTGCTGGGGGAGCTGACCCCAGGGCAGAAGCATGCAGAGCTGACTGAGTCTATGTTTAAGGTATAACACACTAGAAAGGAAAACAATAAGTTACCATCTGGCTGAGTGCTAAGTGGAAAAGTGTGGGTAGGTCCCAGACAGGAAGCAGGTGACCTAATAGGTAACAGGGGCACAGAGACAAGGAATCTGAGTCAGGTGACAGCTAGGAGACGAGATTAGCAGTCATCTTTAGTGGGGCCTGTCCACAAGAGCAGGCTCCCACTGCAGTGCTCAACTTGGATCCTAGAACAGGGTAATAGGCAGCAGATCAGAAACTCAGGACCTGGAAACAAACCTAAGGGGAAGTGGGGTTCAGAATTAACTGCCCATTAGTTTCAACTCTTCAGTTATAAACAATAGTAAGTGCTTCTGGCTTGCTTAAACAAAAATGTTAAAACAGAAAGCTGCTTACTAGAAGGATTTGGGGCATACCCTTTTCTTACTGGCGTTGCAACAAGTCACTACCAGCTCAGAGGTTTAAAACTCTGCAATGTATTATCCTACATTTCTAGAGGTCAGATTGAAGTGAGTCTCATCTGGCTGAAATCAAGGGGACAGCAGGGTTACATTTCTTCTGGAGGCTCTATAGGAGAATCAATTTCCTTGCCTTTTCCAGCTTCTAGATGCCACCTGCATTGGCTCTTGGGCCCCTTCCATCTTCAGGGTCAGCAATGGCTGAGTGAGTCTTTCTCACAGTGCCTCTGATTCTCCTGCCTTCCTCTTTCACCTATAAAGAAGGACTCTGGTAATTGACACTGGGCCTGGCTGGAAAATCTGGTAATCTCCCTGTCAAGATGCTTGGCTTTAACCACAGCTGCAAAGTCCTTTTTGTCATGTAAAGTACCTCATTCACAAGTTCTGGGGATTAGGCTGTGAATATTCAGAGGATCCCTTTTTCTTCCTACCATGGAAAATAACTTTCAAAATTGAAGGACATTCCAAAGAACCAGAGCTAGGAATTTCTGACAGGTTAAAAAGTGGCAGGAACCAGGAAGCTGTGGGTCATGATTGGCTAAGAACCTAGCATGGTTTCTGTCACTCTGCAAATGATTCACATTCCAGGGAGACCATGTGACTGCCCTAGTTTGGGTCACATGTCCATGTGTTGGTCAGTTAATGGCAGTTCATTGATCAATGTGTTCTTCAAGACTGTATTCAATGAGGCCAGTGAGGTTCCTCAAAGTAGAACTGAAGAGCTAATCCCAAGAGAAAGATGCATGGCAAGTGGCCAGGAAGGCAAATGTCAGTTGTAAACTAGGAATAATGACAGTACTCTGGTCCCTGAGGGTCAAGGGAGAATACCTGGGAAGATCTCTGACAAAATCTCGTTCTTTGTTCTTTTCTTTTTCTTTTTTTGGAGAGGTTTTCGCTATAGGGTGCGTGTGCTTGCCAGACAGACAGAGAGAGACAAAGAGACAGAAAGCGAGAAATCACCTCCCCAGGGGGGATGGCCACGCCGTAACCCTTTCTCCTCCATTCTCCTCTTGGGATCTTGGGCACGCACGCACACGCGCCCGGTGTGAGTTTTAAGCCACCGGATCCGGGATGCCAACCGCGGTCGACTATGTGGGAGTCCAGCGACATAGCCACTATGCTAACTGCTGGTTCCCGACAAAATCTCATTCTGATGATGATGCTATGGTTTGAATGTGTGTCTCCTTAAAAAAAAATTAGTGTATCAGAATTTGGCTGTAATCATGATGGTATGAAGAGGGTAGAAACTTAATCCAGTGATAGTATTAAAAGGTAGAGTTTTTGGGAAGTGATTAGGATTAGATAAGGTCATAATTGGATTCTATTGGCTTCACAAGAGAAAGAGAGAGATGAGAGCTGAAGCATAGACACAGGCTGTTTCCCTCATATCTCATGATGTCCTGTGCCTGCTCAGGACTCTGTGAAGAGTTTCCTTCAACAAGAAGATTCCCCTTGACTTTGACCTCTAAAACCATGTACTAAATATGTCTCCTTCTTTATCAGTCTGTGATATTCAGTTGTTAGCAATAGAAAAATAAACTAAAGCAATGATAATGACGAACACCAGCCCATTTGAGAAAAATACTTTTTTTTTTCTTAGAGAAAGAGATGGAGAGGAAAGTGAGGAGGGACCCCCGTCCCCCCTCCGGGAGGGGGATGACCATGCCACATCCCTTCTCCTCCATTCTTCTCTTGGGATTTTGGGCACACATGCACACATGTGCACAGTGATTTTCAAACTGTCAGGTTTGGGATTTGAATCATGTAGCTAGCTGCTTTAATCTCCATGGCACCTGTTTGCCCTAAAGTACATGGAATTTTTAGCATTTAAAAGACATGTCCAGGATTGTATTAAATTTATACATTAATTTTGGTAGACTTGACATTTTGATTATAATTCTTCTAATCCCAATTAAAATCACCAGAGATATTCTTTTTTTTTTTTTTGGAGAGGTTTTTTTCGCTATAGGGCGCATGCGCTCGCCTGACAGGCAGAGAGAGACACAGAGACAGAAAGCGAGAAATCACCCCCCAGGGGGGATGGTCACGCCACAATCCCTTCTCCTCTATTCTCCTCTCGGGATCTTGGGCACGCACGCACATGCGCCCGGCGTGAGTTTTAAGCCACCGGGTCTGGGACCGCGGTCGACTAGGTGGGAGTCCAGTGACACAGCCATTCCGCTAACTGCTGGATCCCACCAGAGATATTCTTCACAGAATTAGACAAAACAACCCTGAGATTTGTTTGAAATAATAAAAGGTCCTATATCATCACAGCAATACTGAGAAAAAAGAATAAAGTAGGACGGATCTCACTCCCTGACCCCAACATAGGTTATAAAACTATGATAATCAAAACAGCATTGCACTGGCACAATAACAGGCATGTAGACCAATGGAACAGAATAGAGAACCCAAAAATAAACTCAAAAACATATAGTCAGCTGATTTTTGACAAAGGGTGCAGACAATCCAGTAGGGAAGGGAAAATCTCCTCAGAAACCTCAGAAAATGGTACTGGAAAAACTGGATATCTACTTGCAAAAAAATGAAACTGGACCCTTATTTCTCACCACTAAGAAAAATCAACTCAAAACAGATCAAAGATCTAAAAATAAAACCTCAAACCATGAAACTACTGGTGGAAAACACAGGGAAAACTCTTGGAGACACCAGAGTTGGCAAAGAATTCTTAAATAAGACCCCCAAAGCACAGGCAATAATCCCCAAATTAGACAAGTGGGATTATATCAGATTAAAAAGCATCTGCAGAGCAAAAGAAACAGTATTTAGAGTGAAGAGACATCCCTTGGAATGGGAGAATATATTTGCAAACACTGCTTCAGATAAGGAAATAATAACCAGAATATACAAGGAACTCAAGCAGTTTACCTGCAAAACAAACAAACAAACAGACAAACAAGCAAATGAAAAATAAAAACAAACAAAAAAGTCCCAACAACAAAAGAAAATCCAATTAAAAGATGGACAAATCAACAGACGAACAGACAACTCTCCAAGGAAGACATATAAACAGTTAAAAAGCATATGAAAAAATGTTCAACATCTCTTATCACAAGTGAGATGCAAATACAAAATACAATAAGATATCACCTAACCCCAGGCAGTATGACTAAGATTAAAAAAAATGAAGACTGGTAAGTGCTGGTGAGGCTGTGGTGAAAAGGGAACCATTCTACACTGTCGGTGGGAAATTACATTAATATGCACACTGTGGAGAACAATATAAAGGTTCTTCAAAGGCCCACAAATAGAACTACCATATGATCCAGCAATTCCATTCCTGGGTATCTACTCAAAGGATAGGAACACACTCAGTTGGAAAAATTACTTGTACATCCATGTTCATCACAGTATTATTCACAATTTCTAAGAAGTGGAATCAACTCAAATGTCCATAAACAGATGAATGGATTGAAAAAGTGTGGCACATATGCACTATGGAATACTACTCAGCCATAACTAACCAGACCCTGCCATTTGAAAGAAAGTGTATGAATATGGAAGACTTTATGCTGAGTAAAGCAAGCCAGACTATTTGAAAGAGAAGCATTGTATGTCTCTATTTACTATATACTGAATGCCTATACTATGTGGCAGAAACTAAGAGATTAGAAGGTATAAAGGCATGGAGAGCAACGTTACTGTATACTGAATGTCTATACTGTGTGGCAGAAACTAAGAGATTAGAAGATATAAAGGCATGGAGATCAACTGTGGATACTAGAGACAGTGTGGGAGGATGGTGAGCAGTTGGGAGATGGGAAGGAGGGAATCAAGGGGTGGGGGAAAGCAAAACATTTAACAGACCTTACAGTGGAAAATTATCTGTTGA